ATTCATTGGTAAATCGGGGCACTTCTATGTTTCAACTACACGTAAAACGTCGACGACTAATAATAACTGAAATTTTGCAATACCATTTGCACTGATATATAATATGATATATATGCCAGTTGCAGTAAAGAAAGTAAATAAATGTGACTTTGATGAAATGCGAATCAATCAATGCAAAATGATAAAAATTTCGGAACGAAAAGTCGAAATAACATTGTTGAAGACAAATTTGCATTGTGCTCAAAATTTGATAATGAATGTTTTAGTTGATTTGCCATGTCTTGGCAGTATTTTGCAATTATTCGAAATCGAGTCTTAAAATCATTCCCAAATTGAATTCAGTGAATTTTCATCGCATTCTGTTAATCACAAAATATTATTGCTAAAAACGATGCAATTTTGCGATTTCGTCTATCGATGTTTGCGCATAATCGAGGGCCAATCAAGAATATACCAACTGAATTGCCGAAAAAAGTGCTCTCCATATAAGTCGCTTATCACTAGTGAAATTGGAGTACGTAAAGATCAGAAAAGTAATCTTGAGAAAGCCACTTTCCTTGCCTTGAATCTTTTCTTAACACGGACTGTTTCTAATGAACGAACTCATAACAGCATTATTGACGAGGCAATTGCATCTGTGATTAAATTGTAATTAGTGCAACTTATACAGACTCGAGCAGGATTGCTTCGATGATCAAAAAGCGGAATGTTAAGAACAACAAATCATGTTGAATGATTGAAAAGAAAAACTGTTAAGGATTCTGAACCGAGAGTATTCATAACATGCAAGAAGGAAGCAGATGCTAAATTCGCAGAATACGTTCGTCATGTAGTTGATACGTCAACAATCTCAAAGGAAGCGCAAAAAGCAAGACCTGATTACGGTATTGAAAGTGTTCAACCGAACGACGTGGCATGCATCTGTTACACTTCTGGTACCACCGGTTCGTTGTTGGCCAGTTATTTCGCTTGAGAACAATTTTCTGTTTCTCCAATTAGAAACATTCATTTTCTCCCAAAATGGCTGAAATTTCATCAAATGTTTTTGTTGAGCGTTGAAACGGAATGAATTTTCAACTTGTGCACAACGAGAGTGATTGCACTCAAATTTTGTGGAATCGATCGCTCGAAAAGAGTGTTTTGGTTGTTGTTGCAGGATTGCCGAAAGGAGCGATGTTAACACACGGTAATCTAATGTGGAATGCCGAATCACTGATAGATGCATGGCGTTTCACATCGTCTGACATTCTGCTTCATTATTTACCGTTTTATCATGTTCATGGAATGTTTATCAGTCTTAATTGCTCTCTTTTCACACGATCCGCTATTATATTTAGGTTCATTTATCCGCTTACTGTGTTACCATTGCAAAATATCACATAATAAGTTGAGATTCATGAACTCAACTAATTTTTTTGTTGTTAGCTCAAAATTTTTTGCCTTTTTTTTCCCAGAAAAAGTTCGATGTCTTTATTCAAAATGACTTTTAAATGTTCATCTTACGTGCTGAAAAATATATTTCGTTTTGAGTTGATTTATCGTGTTTGAAGTTGAATGTTTTTTTTTCGATTCCAAGTGGAAAAAAGAAATATTTGAATTTGCTGCTAAAAATGTAAGCGCTAAAATTTCTGTGCAATGAATCTCATACAGCAAATGATTTTGGCACTTCTTGAATGGATTTTTTCGAAATATTTC